TTTACAATATTTTTGCATGGAATGCTCACTTAACTACAAAAAATGCTTAACTATGGAAAATGGAATCCAGTAACTTGGGTACCCTGGCCTATGACTATCATAACTTACAATGGAAATTCCAGGTCCATTATAGTTGCCTGTATTACATCCACATATTAGATCTAAAGACTTCTGTGCTGCTGGAGAGATTATGTGGAGACTAGTACTCCCCCTCTTCCTCCTCTTGTTGTGCATTATTCTCAGTTTTGTGTAGACAACTTCCACCGAAAAGAATTATTTGCTGAGTTTCTACTTGTTTGCTGAGTTTTGTATTATACCTGTAATGTTATTGCTTGTTTGGCTTTATTGGAAAGGTTCTTTTTGTTTTGTTTTTCTTCTTCTCAATCCAATAATTTTTTTTTCCTTCCCAGAGCTTTAGTCATTCCCACTCAGTAACTTGTCAGTATCCACTTTATCACCCTGACATCTCTTTGTTCGGCAACTCTGTACTTCAGTCCATGACATCATAGTGAGATACCGCTTAATGATCTGAGTCTCTAAACAGCCATTGCTCTGAATTCTAGTTGCAGAAAATATGTGACAGATCTGGCCTAGTTGAGCTTTGCTTACGCTGCTCTTTTCAGGACCAGGCAGGGGTTTGCACATGTCAGTCGCTCTCATGAAACTGCTGAAGCTGCATTTTAGTAATGTGCATTTGGCAGACATCAAAATGAGAAGAGGTGAATCTGGTGCAAGTTGCCCCATCACTAAGACGGTGAATCTGGCCTCAGCTCACAAAGGGAATGAGTTTAGCCATTAAAGCATTTTATTGAATAATGTTGTCTTTTTTTTTTTTTTTTTACAAAGAGGTGGAGCAAGAGATAGAGGAAGAAAATTTAATTGTCCCAGAATTAAAACATGGATTCAGGAATGTGGTTATGCTAGACATATTTACGTCCAAGCAAAGAAACCCTTAGTCAGATTAAATACAGTCTATAGACAGTGAAAAGATGAATTTATAGCCCTGGCACTTTCTTTTACACTTTCTGAAATACCTTTGGACTTGAATACATGAAATAATGTTTCTTTACTTAAAGTTTATCTGCATTAAGATCTTCCACTGAAGCTTTAGCCCAGAGGTGGAACACTTTTTCCTCCTAGTGGGTACCCTTGGACAAGTGGTGGGTTTAAAAAATTTTTACTACCGGTTCTGTGGGCGTGGCTTGGTGGGTATGGCTTGGCTTGGTGGGCATGGCAGGGGAAGGATACTGCAAAATCCCCATTTCCTCTTGATCAGCTGGGACTTTGGAAGCAGGGAATAGATGGGGGCGGGGCAAGTCAGAATTTTTACTACTGGTTGTCCGAACTACTCAAAATTTCCACTACCGGTTCTCCAGAACTGGTCAGAACCGGTTGAAACCCACCACTGCTTTGGACTTCTCAGAGCAGGTTATTGATGCTTTTATAAAATGATTGCATTACAACTTTTCCATATTCACAAAACAGCTGGTGAAACAGAAAACAATCCATTCCATGGCCTCTCAACCGTTACCCTTTTAGCATTTCTGGTCAGTTCTGCCCCCTTTCAAATAAAACACTGTAATGATGTTTCCCCATCTTTCTACTCTTGTGACCTATATTAGGGAAGCAGTCCGTTTATTAGATTTTATCTAAAAATTCATCCAGGTTCATGTTGTATCCCTAAAGCTCTGAACAGCATCTGTGTTTTCTCTCCTTTGTGACTACAGAATGATGGAGGAACGTCCATGATTTATCAAAAAAATAAACGTAAGAATAGTTTGTCACATGGCTAGAATATTGAGATTGTCTAACAGAGATTAAGGGGTGCAACAGGTGCCTTAAATATCAACCCCCCCAATACTTTAAAAAAGGAAAAAATTGTACTGCTAAAGAAGAATATTTGTAGCTCAGGGTTGAAATGAGGGGTACTTACTAGCACTGATGATATTACCTAGTTTGGGTAATGAAACAACTGCAAGTAAACAACCTGTCAGGTTTCGATGTCATCTCAAATAAATTGCACTCCCAAAACAATTAATCTTTGCTGAAGTATTCCATTTATTGAGTACGACAGATCTGGCCCCGACTTCGTCGTAGCCGATACTAACCCTCTGACTCCCAAACCCTTCCCTTTCCGTTCCCCAATTCTCATCTTCTCATTGGCCATCTTCCAAGTCAGTCTCCTCAGCTTCTGACTTCACCCCATAGGAATGTTCCCCCCACCATCTCATCTCCTAGGGGATATTATCTACAAAGAAATAAGTAGGTGAAAAGTCAAGCCTCGTCTTTTTATGGCAGCATCAGAATGCTGACATCCGGCCCCTCTCCCTTCATTTTTCCAGGGAGGCCTGTTTCAGGGAAAAGAAAAACAAATTAAGCACCGTTACCACGTCCGAGGGTGTGTCCCACCCCCTCCTGCCTTACCCGGGTGATCTGCATGGAATTTGGCTATAAGGCGATCAGCTTGGATATTTGTGCTCTTCACCCAGGAAGCCTCTGACAAGGGGTAACCCTTCCAGTTAATCAAGTATTGGAGGCGCCCCCTATGCCACCTGGAATCGAGAATTCGCTGTACCTCATAGTGAGTATGGCCCCTAACAACCAGGGGCTCGGGGGGGGGGGGTCACGTGGCACTAGCCTTAAAGTTAACCCCACCACAGGCTTCAGGAGGCTGCTGTGGAAAACGGGGTGTATCTTCCCTAGTAGCCGGGGCAACGGCAGTTGTACTGTAACCGGGTTGATTATTTTTTCTATAGGGAAAGGTCCTATAAATTTCAGGCCCAATTTCTTGCTCAGGAGTCTAAGTCTCAAATACTTGGTGGAGAGATAAACCTTCTCCCCTACTCGGAATGGTCTTTGGGGACTTCGGTGCTTATCTGCTTGTTTCTTATAGGATTGTGCCACCTTGGCCAACGCTCTCTTAACGTTCTCCCAGGTTTCCCTCAACATATCCATCCAATCGGTCAAGCTGACTGAGGAAGGGGGCTCCCTTGGGTACTCTAGCATGGGGACGAAATCCATACCACTCACTATTTTAAACGGGGTTAATCCCGTGCTACTGTGGACAGCGTTATTATACGTGACTTCCACAAACAATAGGAGGTCTGCCCAATTGGACTGTTGGTAGTCGATGTCATCTCAAATAAATTGCACTCCCAAAACAATTAATCTTTGCTGAAGTAATCCATTTATTGAGTACGACAGATCTGGCCCTGACTTCGTCGTAGCCGATACTAACCCTCTGACCCCCAAACCCTTCCCTTTCCATTCCCCAATTCTCATCTTCTCATTGGCCATCTTCCAAGTCAGTCTCCTCAGCTTCTGACTTCACCCCATAGGAATGTTCCCCTCACCATCTCATCTCCTAGGGGATATTATCTACAAAGAAATAAGTAGGTGAAAAGTCAAGCCTCGTCTTTTTATGGCAGCATCAGAATGCTGACACAACCAAAGTCAGAGAACACCAAGAACCTCTGAAGAAAATTTATAGCTGGAGTGTCCAAATAAGATGCATGAACCAACCTCAGCTTTTTAACTTTTTCTTCTCTTACAGAAAATATGATAAATCTTTAAGTTACATAATTGTACCTTGATGTCCCCAGCTATCTGTTCATTCACTCAGATGTGGTGAAAGATTTCCAATGTGGAAGCAAAATTCATTTGCTTCTTAGTTAACATAAAATGGAAGGAGCATCATTGTGTCCATTGTATCTAACAGATAAACAAAAAATATTGGGTTTGCTTTGGCTGATTCTCTTTTTCTTTATACGCTGGAGAGATGATTTAGGGGGTCCTTACAATAATCTATTTCTTGAGATTCTCAAAAATCTCAAAAATAAGAAGCCAAGGTTCTTATTGGTCATTAATATTATAAAAAGCTTTAATATTTTGCCTATTGTTAGGACGTGCCACATAATTTTAGATCATCCAAAAATAATACTGCAAACCTGAAGCTTGTTAACTGAAAAATAATTCCACTGAATTTGATGGATTGTATTTCCAAAATAAGTGCGCAGAGAACTGAGCCTTCATATCAAGTCAAATTTTATTATGGCCTTTAGGGTAGAAAGGGACATATCTATTCTTGTGAGCATGATATGATTCCTGATAAATGTTGTAGGGGTTTCACATGTTGAAATGTATCACATGCCTATTAACCTTTTAATGCTAAACTGATAAGTTCAAACTACTTGTCAGAAGCAGACTTAAGTAGGAAGTTCTTGACAAGGAAACATTTTAATAGTGCCATCTGCAAATTAAGTTGAGGAAACCCTTTGAAATGAAATTCAGACATCTGCAGAGTACCTGAAATGAGTTACAATTAACTGTCACAGGGAGATCTCATTAAAAGATGTTTGCCTTTTCTTTTAAAAATCTTTAATGTAGTCTTCACATGCCTACATGCCTTAAATGCAGATAGTAATAGAAGAATGAATGTTCCTGTTTTGTTGGGGCAATTTTATTTGGGTTTGTCATCTGATAATATCTTCTGTATATAAAGCATGATTTGTGTCCATGGCTCTGAGCCTTCTGAATATCAGCTGGTAAGTGTCACAGAGCATGCTGGTCGAGTCGAATTTTTGACCTGATGCAAGGGTTCTTATTACATTCTTATGAATTAGATGAACTGAAGAAAGCTTAGAAGATGTATATTTGTTTTAAGGTGAAAGAAGGGTTTCTTTCACCAGAATCTAAGCATTCTGGTAAAATAACAAAGACACACATATATATATAGTCCTGATTTTTTTCCAGGAGGCTGTGAAAATTCATCCATAATGTATTCCTTACATTACAGTAGCAACATAGCAATGTGTGTATTCCTTATCCAAAGTTTTGTTTAATGTTGTGCCTGATATGGTATGCAAAGTTTAAGATGTTGTAAGAAATAGAATTAACTCTAAAATTCTTACTATAAGTGCTAATTTCAACCAGGACAAGAAAACTTTAGGATTTGAAGAAATAACTCATCACTTATGTTCTCATGTCTTACTTTGTAACAGATCAGCTCCAAGCAATCATGATCGGATACAACGATTAAGGCAAGAATTTCAACAAGCCAAGCAAGATGAAGATGTGGAAGATAGGAGGCGTACTTACAGCTTTGAACAACCATGGGTACGTGCTCATTATCTGAGTACAGCAAACAGCAAAGTCCCAAGGAAGCTATCTTAGATTAAGTCAAATATAGACAGCTATTTTGTCTGTCAATAGTAGTTTAGGAGACGTTCAGGATAGAGTTGTTTTGATCCTACCTAGAAATGCTAGTAAATGCATCTTGTAATTTTTGCAGGCAAACAAAATATATTCCTCCATAGTTCTGTACCCTATCCTTTGATTTGCTAGGGCATTATCTTCAGTTCCTACTGGAAATTGATTCCATGTCTTGAATGACCTTTTAACCTATGACTCTTTGCCTTTCCATCTGTGGTGCAACATTCCTAATTTTGTTTTGGATTGTGCTCTGCCATCTGTCCCTTCTGTAAAAGGATATTGTCTGGCCTGTTGGAAGCCATTCCTGGGTCACACAATTGATGCTGACTAACTTATCTGCCCTTTAAAGAATGTCTCTAGGGGATTTCTGTTGGCGACACTGACAAGAACATGATTCTTTGCTTGTATAAACTGCACAGATTTAAATAAAACATAGTAGCATTCAAGATACCTTTACTGGTTTACTTGGATGCATTTTAAACCATGCATTACGTGTGTGTGTCTGTCTGTCTGTCTATGTGTGTGTGTGTGTGTGTGTGTGTGTGTGTGTGTGTGTGTGTTAGATGGTGGCAGAAATAACATGCATGGAATAGCACTACTAAATAGCTGCCATAGTGTACAGGAACTTTTGTGTAGAATATGGGCCAGATTCTCCAACGTTCAAATAGAAGATCCCACAGAAGATCATGGAGAAGAAAGCTAAGGCCTGTGGGACTTCCAGATCCAGACAGACAGGCAGGTAGGTACTGGCCATTCAACCAGACCACAGTGGTGGTGATAGATGTCATGGAGCAAGTGACAGCAACATCAGGAAAAGGAGTATAAGAAACTGGAGAAGTACTAGGAGGAACTAAAGAGGATATGGAAAGTAAAGGCCAAAGTGGTCCCAGTGGTGGTAGGAACACTTGGGGCTATGACTACTAAGCTTGGAGAGTAGCTCCAACAGATCCCAAGAACAACATCAGAGCTGTCCATCCAGAAAAGTGCAGTGATAGGAACAGCTAAGATCCTGCACAAAACTATTCTGCTCCAATGGCCCTGGTAGAGGACCTGAGATTGAGGACCCCTCATACCATAAGGATGAGAAGGGGCTTGCTTTTGTATGTAGGTATGTAGGTATAAATGTATACTGTATGAGAAAGAAAATTATATGTCAAAACTTGCAGTTTGATTCTGGCCATCCAGCCAGAAGTGACCTTTGAAAAGGCTTTGTTCCCCAAATAACCATAGACTATTTATTTATTTTACTTTGCTTATATGATTTTGCCTCTTCAGTCCAAAAAGACATATTAGGGTTTGTTTTTTTAAAAAATAGTTTTCATTAAGTGCAGAGGGGAAAGAATCAGGTTTTAAACCTCTGAGATTAAAATTTATCTCACTATTAAGAGAGAGGGATACTGCTGTTGTAACTACACCAAATAATCTGTAACCACCCAAAATTTGTTGGGCTACACCAAAATATAGGTATATATGGTTATACCTATGTAACGAAGCCAGCCCTTGAAGTGAGTTTTGAAATTAAAGGGGGGGGAGTCATCAGTATGTTCAAAACTGGAAAAGAGGGAAACTTGTCCATATGCAGATTTATGCAGAGCAGGCTCTGCTCCTTGCAGCTTCAAGCCTTATTCTCTGTGGCCTCAGCAATGTTCCCAGTTGAACAAGGATGCTTTTTAGTAACCTACATTTTATTTATGTGGCAGCTGACATTGCCTAGGTATCCTAAATGAAAAGAGAGGGAGAGAGAGACTTAATTACTCTGTGGTTATGCTGTCAATTTCCTAACCTAAGGTATCTGAGTTTGCAGAAAGACTTATCAGTATATAATCCCATAGAAGCTTGTAGTAACTAGGAAAGCTATGCCATAAACGGATCTCCTTTGTGTGTGTCTTACATGAAATCTGAATATTATTTCAAATTTTCTGTTTTCCTATGAACTTCTCCTTTCCTCCTCCAGTATTGATCTCAAATATAGCATTAAAAGTGTAGGGAACCAATGACCCTTACACCAGCCTGCTTAAATCAGTTCCTTAAATCTAATTTATTGTAAAAGAGATATTCTTATTATTCTTCTTGTACCATGTCCGTCATCGGACATTGGCAATCACATTGGCATTCCTATTTTTGTCAACAGCCGTATGAAAAAGTGCTGTTGAGTTTTGTCCAAACCAGTCCCTGCTTTGAAGCTACAATGTTCTTCTGCCTGGGCCTTATTTGCCTTCAATTTTTCCCTGGAGGATTAAGTGAAGGATGCTGTATTTTTCTGGGTGTCACATCACATGTCCAAAATACTCTAAATTTTGCTGTTTAATGGCTTTGATTATTTCCCTTGGCTTTCCCAGGCGGCTTATCACCTCCTCATTTGTGATTTTGTTAACCCAGTTTATACGTAACAGCCATCTGTAAATCTACATTTATAAGATTTATTTATAAGAGATATAGACTTCCTTTTAATGTTCTGTTATAAAATATCATATGTTCTTCATAAATTAAAGTAATGAAATGTCCATACATATGTTATTTTAATGGATAAACTATTTTGCTGTTGGCCTTGTTAGATACAGAAAAGGAAATTCATTAACTTTTAAAAAATATTTTCTGAAAAAAGAGGACTTTCTACACTATAGGATGAAGATTGGCTGAACAAGCCCCAAATGTGATAGTGAGGGAACTTGGGAAAACTATCTGAGAAAAATGAAAACCTTACTACTGTAGGTCACAGCCCAAATGTTGTCTATCCAAATATGATTAGCACCCATAGCAACTTTAGACAGGCAATCATGGCATGCTTTATAAGCAATGACTGAGTATGGACAATTATTTAGATGACAGGTTGATTACCTCAAGAATGGAATAATTTCCTGAATTGTAGGTCAGAAGCCTGACCTTTCCTTTTTTTTCTCTTTTTTCCTCACAAACAATGGGGAGCTATCTCCCTCTGGAGTAATAATGAAAATGAGCTTAAAGAATCTGAAATTGTGCTTAATATAGTTATATTTATCCTGAGCTTTGGTGATTCTTGGCTCTGGAGTGCACATGTACTTTTATGTAAGAAACGCTCATTTAGCAAAGGCCATGTATACTTTAGGATTAATTTTCTCCCTCTTATGTATTCTAATCTAGATAAGATCACGATACTTGGAAGGGATAAAACAATGATCTCATCCCTTTTGAGATCACACAATGTAACTTTAGCACTGAGGAACTAAAAACCCATCTCTTAAACAGCATATGTGACTTCAGCCTGCTGGTTTAAAATGATAAAGGTGCTTGCTTCAAAATGCACCTTAATACCAAATACCAAAACACAGAAATGGAATTGGATATTTTACCTATAATCTTAAATCCTTTCTTTAGTTTATACCTTGGGTTATAGTCTAAGTGTTGGAGAAAAAAATCACCTGCATATCTGCCTGTTGTCAAAGCTGGTATATAACTTGATGGAATTAAAGAGTGGTACCAGGTGCTCTTTACAATGAGAGAGGGTGTAAAAAGCTTAGGAAAGGGCTGTCAAACTCCTGGCTGGTGGGCCGGATGTGACATGCACTGCCCTCGCCCACGCCTGGTTTAGCTAGCAAAGTGGGGGGAGTCACAATGTGTCACATGATGCCCCCATGACAACGTGAGTTTTACACCCCTGGCTTAGAACATAAAGCTTTACAGAAACAAATTTACATGCGTAAATGCTATAGAAAAAAAATCCCTCCAATTCTTGAGGGAAATAAAGGAAGCCAACTTCCATTTGTAAAATAGCAAAGCCTCCCTGTCACTCCTCTGCAATTTTAATGTGGAGATTTTGAGCTGAATCCTAACAGCAGAACAATTTATGCTATCTCAGCCATATTTTTCAGGATCTGTTGCTTGATTATAATGGTCCTATTCAGAACATAGCGAGCAAGCATTGATTATAAACTAGGTTTCATTATGACATCTTTGGCAGAATCTTTACCAGTGGCTGAGGGAGAATGGCACTTCTACTCCAAAATATCTGCTGGTCCAATAATTTGTGAATCCCTGCCTTGAAGGCAGTCAGTCCAGTAACTTTAATGAACACAGACATTCTTATTAAAAACTTTAAAATGACATTTCCTGGAGACAGCTAGACAGAATAGTTGAAGTTGAGGGCTCAGGGCACATGTATCTAGGGCTTCATTCCTGTTAAAATTATATTGTATCTTTTTTAGGTTCTTAGTCATAGGATCTTTTTAAGGATACATACAATCATGATTCTCTAATACAGTGTCTTGTGTATAGTGGAAATAGCTTCACATGTGTCAGAGAGGGGAAATATCCCTTCTGGAATTACAACTCTTGTTAATTTTCTCCATTGGCCATAACAAATGAGCATGCTAGGAGTTATATTCAAGTATTAAATATCTTCCTTTGGTTTATACATAGCATATCTCTGATAACATCATTGAATAAGAAAGTCTGTGTTGTGCATTTTCTATGTGAAGGTCGTCCGTCCGTCTCCCCCCCCCCCCGGTGCTTTTGAGTCAAGGCTGATTCCTTATGACTGCCTGGACAAGTCCCTGCAATTTTCTGAGCAAGATTTCAGAAGTAGTTTGTAATTGCCTTCTTCCAAAGGGCTGTGAAAGGATGACTGGCCAAGGTCACCCAGCTGGCGTTGTATGTCAAGTAGAACTAGAATTTTTGGTCTCCCAATTTCTAGCCTGGTATCTTAACTGCTGCTTGTTTTAACTATCTGTCAGACCTCCTATAGGCCAGGAGATTCCAAGAACACTATGTTATTGTTGAAGAATACTTTTGAAGAAACTTCAAGTTTCTTCCTGATTCATCTTATACTAAACAAAATAAAGGCAGGGTTCTTTAGAATTTCTTTTTCACACTTGCTCCAATTTTTCGATTGAATAATCTCTTTTTCAGGTCTCTAGCAGATAATTCCTTCTTCCCACTCTTAAAAGCTCTTTCATATTTTCCTGAAGGTCACTTTAAAATTCCTTAAACTATTCACACACGCACTCTTATCATCTATCTGTCATTCATTCATGAATATGTATATATGTACATGTTCAAAACATTAAATAGTTTTGATAAGGAAAGGTAGGCAATGTCTTAAAGATGTCTTGCCCTCATGTCCCCATGCAAATAATCATTTGTGTTTTAGAAGTGAAATTCAAATTCAAATCAACATTAATTTATATCTCCTTCTCAACTATGCTTTGTAAAGCTGAGAGAAGAAGAACATTATTTGAAGCGTCTGTTCCTTATTGAGACACTGATAAATATTAATTCTGTATGTCAAATAACCTTATACAACATTGGCACTCTCCAGAACTGTGTGAACTCTAGAATTTTCAGCAGTGATCATAATAAGGAATTCTGGGGTGTTGAAGTTCACATTTTGGAAGAATACCCAGTTTGGGCAAGGTTGACATATGTTTCGATTAAAGATGAGGCGAGAAACCTGTTCTGATGCTGTTACCAACTAGCCATATGCGAGTGTAATATGCCCACACACTTGAACACACACTCTTGGTCCTCTTGAAGATTACAAGAAATTATCTAAGTGAAAAGATTTATTTGAGCAAATTTCATTTAGATTTACCAGGATAAGGGCTATATCCTATTCAATATCCTATTAAGCCTTCTGAAGGTTCTATATACCTTTCATTCCTAACCATTGTCATGTTGAGAGTCATCTTGCCATAGAGTATCCTGAGGGCCAGTGAATTTATGTTCTAAATTATACTGAGTATTCTACAATACCTAATTATTACTCTTGATAATTTACAAATAAAACAAAACAAATGTGCTACTTTAAGGATGACACTGCTGAAAATATATTTTAGAGGAACTATTCCAAAAATTGATCCTTGTGCTCGTAAGAAATCCTAATTTTGTTAATGTCTTTTTGTCACTGATAGAATTTATCCATATAGACGTGTGACATCTTAAAGATTAATAGAGCCACTGTGACATCAGCCTTCATAGTTTGCAGACCTTTTCATAAAATGCAATCTGGATTCTATATACAGCATTGTCTAGCTGTAAATTACACTGATTGAACACAGTTTTTTGATATTTCTTTTGCAAATAATAAAGGGATATAGCTCTATTTTAACAAGATCTTTCTGAAAATCTTGAATGCTTTTGCAATTTTAATCTTATATGCCTTTCTCCATAACGCAAGAAACATTTTCTTGTAACTCTTTATTTCCTTATCATATTTAGAGAAATTATATCTTAAATTACATTTCAAATTGTAGAAAAAATATTAGCCTAATGTTGAGATCTTAAAAACAAATCCTTTAAATGATTTATGTATTAAAGGTTTAGGATGTCAGCATTCCTATCAAGCATCATTTTTCTCCTGTGCTTTCATCAAGAAAAGTTAAAATGATAGATACATTAAGTTTCATGATTAAAGATACAAACTTATATGTATTTGGATAAGATATATTTACAGCAGCTTTGATTGTTATTTGATTTAAAAGATCAACAGTTATCATACATCTCCACATAGACAAGGGCAAAATCCCCTGCAATTAACAGGGTTAAGACATCGCCAGCTTTGTTTGATAGCTTTAAAGAATTATGATAATTATACTTCACCTTGTACTGCCCTGTTTGTGCAGGTGTTAAGATATTTGGGAGTTATACTATGAACACACAATTTGTACAGGGAATTATATTTTACCATCTCATAAAAAGACTAGTTTTGATATTTGTGGTAAATATTGTTGCCAGGATTAAACATTGTATATAGATACGATATAAAATGAATATGAATAGTGAATATGAATGTACTGAAAATGCATTTAGAAAATCAAGAGTTTGGGCATGAATATAGAGTGCCATGTTAGCAGTGAAGCCAATTTTCAAACCCTTTGGGAATTAAATGCAGATAAGATTGTGATATTCATGTTATTTTTCTTGCCTAGAATTTATCTTCTTACTTGCTACTTTGTGCCATGAAAGCCCTGTCAAGATTGCTTATCAATTGTTGTTCGTGTTCTTATTCTTAACTCTTATTCTTATTTCTTCATCAAGAAAAAACACAATGCAAACAAACAAAAAGAATCACATCTTTGACTAATGTTCTTTGGAATTCAAGTTCCAGCCAAGAACTTAAAGATTTATGCAAGCAACATTGCAATGCAGAACTTTTTTTGTAATCTACAGTTGATATAGCAAAAATATTTAGATTGTGTAATTTTTCTTATTTTTGTGACTAGCTAAGGCTAGTGATTTATTCTGACATGTGTTTTATATAATTAAAAAATTGGTCAGAAGTGTGATGGGCAGTGGAGATCAATATCTAAAAGCCATTTGGTGATACAAATATATAAAAATTTTGATTTGTAATGCAAAAGTTGTAAAGAATATGAATTAACAAATAACCAGCAACATTGGAAAATAGATATGTTGTGTGTCTACAAAACTCAGAGAAAGGTAATAGAAGATAGTCTAATGAAGATAGACTAATCTTCTGAAGTAGAGTTGATGACTACATGGAAGTAAACTTATGCGATTTATTTTGAATGAAAATGTATATCAGAAAGTATGAATTGGTATGGCCTAGATTGTCGTGAGTACAGTATAGAGGAAAGTACAATTTTGTACATTGGTGATAGGTGCATGTTACGTAGCAGCAAATGAGATTAGAAGAAACAGGAATTGGTTTGGAAAAATTGTGCTACATTCTGAATGGATATGATTCAGAACTTTTTTAAAAATTGGAAAATTAAAAACTTTTTTTGTTAGAGAGAAGCTGTCTAATAGACTTCAGGAGGAATGGTAATCATGCTAATCAGTAGGAGAGTATCAAAATTAAAAATGGAAGCATATGAGTTTGAATCTCCCTGAATCATGAAGCTTCTTCTAAGGCATTAAAGTAACTATTGGTAGTTGTTTGTATGCTATATTCAATATTTCTTCCCTTGTAGAATATATGTGCAATTGTCTTGACTCAATACTGAACCGACCCCAAATCTGATAGGGTGCATTGTCAGATCACAAAATTATCCCCTGTCAAAGGTGCCAACTAGTTATTTTGAGTGAAACTGAGTCAATGGGATTCCATTCTTACATATAATATACAGTACATAAAATATATCTTACTAACAGAGCTGAAGCTCTTATATTCATCTGAAAACATTGCTGAATCCAGAAAAATTATTCAATCATCCATATTATAATAATAAGAGGGGAAATATCTTTTAAACATATTTTCAGTGTTGAACCTTTTTGGTCACAGTTTTTTTTTTTTTAAATAGACAGCTAAGGTTATGTTAATGTATGATAAGTGAGTTTACTTCATAAATTTGAACTGAAGGTTTATGGTTCAGATTAGTCTCTGACTTTGAAACAGTATGCTCTCAATTTTTAATTTTTCTTATTTTCCTTTAAGTGTCATAATTAACAAAGAAACCAAAATACAGTTAAGAAAAAAAATGACATATTTTAAGTGGTTGAATGGGTCACGGGGTGGAATTCAATATCAGCAACTTTGAGTTATATCACCTTTTCCCAACATGGCCCTCTGGGTGATCTTAGAACTACAAATAAACTACCCTATTTTTTTTTCTTTTGCAAGGAAATGCATTTGTTTCCTCTTCCTCATCTTTTACATTTTCTTTTGCTTTTCCCCTTTTCTCCAACCAGAGGCATACACAGAATCCAATAGCAAGAGGAGTGATGCAGAAGACCAGGGATGTACGTCATTAGGAAAGTTTGCATGCCCAAGAGGTTCAGTAGGGTAAAACTAAATGTGTTTTCCCAGGTGACTGAAGCTTCTCTATTGCTCTAGAGAAACTTCAAAGAAGACCAGAAAAAATGCAGATGACAGTAGTTATTTTAGCATTTAATATTTCATTTACAGAAGTCTGCATTTCAATGTATCCCTGAAAAAAGAGACAATGTCATCAGTGTAAATTCGAATCTTTTATAGATGATTACAGAAATGTACTTATGCAAAGAGAGTGTTGTTATAGTAAAGGTAAAAGGTAAAGGTTTCACCTGTCCAGTCATGTTTGACTCTAGGGAGCGGTGCCCATCTCCATTTCTTAGCCGAGGGAGCTAGAGTTATCTGAAGACACTTCCGTGGTCATGTGGCCAGCATAACTATATGCCGAAGGGCACGGAACATTGTTACTTTCCCATCAAAGTGGTACCTATTTATCTATTTGAATTTGCATGCTTTTTCTATTGCTAAGTTGGCAGGAGCTGGGGGAACTAACAGGAGCTCACCCCGTCATGTGGTACTTGGGTCTTGATCTGTCAATCTACCAGTCCTCAAGCCCAGGGTCTTAACTGCTAGGCCACCACACCCTTCCTTATTTTCGTACTATTAACAATATTTGTTTTTTATTTCCCAGCCAAATTCAAAGACCTATTCACAGAGTGGCAGACATTCTGTATCAGTAGAAGTTCAAATGCAGAAACAACGGCAAGAAGAGAGAGAGAGTTTCCAGCAGGCTCAGAGGCAATACAGTTCATTACCCAGGTATGACATGTATCAAAAACTCTTTAGCCAACTAATAACAGTTTCTTCAGAAGGAAATACAGGCAGTCCTCGACTAACGACAGTTCAAATTTAGTAACAATTCAAAATTACAATGGTACTTTAAAAAGTGACTTATTACCATTTTGCAGCATCCCCGTGGTCAGGTGATTAAAATTCAGATGTTTGGCAACTGATTCATGTTTATGACGGTTGCAGTGTCCCGGGGTATGTGATCAGCTTTTGGGACCCTTTGTGATGAACAAAGTCAGTGGGGAAGCCAGATTCACTTAACAATATTATTAATTTAACAACTGCAATGATTCACTTAACAATTGTGGCAAGAAAGTTCATAAAATGGGGCAAAACTCACTTAACAAATGTCTCACTCAGCAACATAAATTTTGTGGTCATAAGTCGAGGACTACATGTAAACCTTAATGGTGATATGCCTTCTTTGTTCAGAAGAATCTTTGGTGGGACTAAATTTGATATGGGATAAAATGAAGTTATGGGATAGAGCAGGGGTGTCAAACTGGTGGCCCGCAGGCTGATGCGTCACATGCAGGCCACGCCCACCCCAACTGTCCGAATGGGGAAAAACGCCGCAAAACATCATATGATGGCAACATGACGTGGTGAGTTTGACACCCCTGCTTAGAGTGTAAGATGGAGCAAGACTGAGGAGCAGTTAGACAAGGAATGGGCCAAATTTTCATTCTTGCAACTGTATTTGGAATTCTGAGATTGGGGGAGGCAATTTGCTTATTCAAAAAAAATCAATTGACGTCTTGATACCATTTCAGCCAACCTTTCTTACTTTGTGAGGACCCTTCTACAGATACTCTAATGAACATACATATAGCTCAAGAGAAGAACATTCTAGAAACAGCCATGATGTTCACTGCATTTTATAAAACCTCCCTGTTTTATTGTATCCCTGAAACAAATTAAGGTTGGTTTTATAATAAGGGAGTCAGGCTACTCAGATATACAATATGCAATTGTGTGCAGTATTTCTGAACCAATCTTTAAAAATTTGCTTAGAATATACCAGGAGATGAAGCTGATTTTCTTGCAGCTTCATTCTATCCAGCCTGGTATTCTCCTGCTAAATTGAACTACAGTTTCTATTGTGTGAAATCAGCATGACTTGGTCTGTGAGATAAAATAAAGTTGTAGTATAACATATCTGAAGGCACCTGGCTGAAGAAAAAGCTACAGGTCATAGAAAATATAGCTCATGGAAGAGTCTGAAATTCCAAATGTATAAGGCCTTGTATAATTCAACTAATTAAAATAAATATTAATTTGAGAATACTTGTAGAAGTAATAACCACTTTCTGGTATTGCTGATAACATTTTGGATGATGGCACAGATGTGTGTCATAAAAGAATGAACTGAACAAATAGATTGTATGCAAAAATGTGTTGTAGGTTGGAATATTTAAATACTGTCTATAAATAAACTTTGGAATTGAAGACTTATGTGCAGAGTACAGCATGTGGTTCAAAAAGTCAGTATGGTAAAGTGGTTAAGGCACCAGGCTAGAAATCAGGAGGTTGTGATTTCTGCCAACTGGAATGACTTTGGGCCCTTGTTTCTTTCTCAGCCTTAGGAAAAAGTGAATAAACCAAAAGCCTTGCCAAGAAAACTGCAGGGACTTTTCCAGGCAGTTGCCAGGAATCCAAATTGACTCAAAGGCACCAAAAACAAAACAAAACAAAACAAAAAAACCTCAAACAAAACATATAGTCCTCAGTTCATAACAGAGATGAATTTCAAAAGGAAAAAGATTTTGCTTGTAACTACTGTATATCTTGGACGCATATATAAGGCCTTCAACACATTTGGTGAATGATTTGAACTGGCCAATTAGATGAGTTACTGCAAATCATGTAAGAGTCAGCCTTCAAAAACAAGCAGTTCAGGGAAAAAATAGACTATAGTAAAAAAAAAAAAAAAGTAAAGATAACAACCACTACGATGCTATTAAAAAACAATTGATTGCACCATCTTGGTTTCCATTTTGACTTTTTGGGCCATCTCTTCTGGAGATCCCTGACAGTTTGTAAGTAGAATAGAGAACAGAATTTACAAATGAATCGTAGTTCCTTAGAAAAATGGATTTATGTATGGGAAAGGTTTTTATTTAAACATGGTATAATGAAAGATTGCTTTTATAAGAATCAAAAGAAATGTATCCACAAGGTAGAATCTCTTTGTTATTTCTTTTTGCGCTCCATAAAATGGAAAAAATGATTGAGAAAAGCCTACCTCTACTCCCTTTCCCTTCCTTCATTAGATGTAGCAACAGTAGCCCTGCAGATGTTACTTGACCGCAACTCACTTTGTTACTTGACTTTGTACAGATTGGGGGGTATGGGAACTGCAGTTTACAAGATTTGCAAGACCACAGGATCCCTTATTAATCTTGTATGGGACCAAATGACTGCAGAATGCTCATGAATGACTCCACTTCCATTTGGAGGGAATTGGAGTGTCACAAGGTTTTGTTGTTTTTTTAACCATTCAGTATTTTTGTCCAAACCGACCCTAACTGAGATAAGCTTGAGCAGAAGGCTGGAAAGAGTAGGATAGAATTTAACAAGGAGGAGTATACAGTTTTGCACTTGGGTAGGTCAAAATGTGAGGCCAAACGTAGGATGGGCAAGACCTGATAGATTTAAAAGGGATCTGGCTGTCCTTGTCAATCACAGGTTCAACGTGAGCCAGCAACGTAATGCCATTGATTAAAAGATGAGTAATACCCCATCTTGCATGGACAGGATCATAGAGTCCAGATTTCAGGAAGTGTTTCTTTCATTCTACCCTGTGCTGGTCAAAGCCCATTTTAAGTAGTTAGTTCAGTTCTGTCAACTATCAATTCTGAAGCAAATTCTAATATGGCTGAAAAGCAAACCACATTTTCAGAGTACTTGAAAATAAACATGTGTGATGTGTTTGTGTTTTAATCTGTAAAACACATAGTGCTTTGTTTCATCTACTAATTTCAAAGTGTTACCAAATAACCTTTATAAAGATTCAGAAGATACACTCAGTTCAGAGCAAAATGTTAATTCAAGATCTGTATTACAAACTATTTATACACAAACAAATTCATAACTACTGCACTATATCCAGGCATTTATAAATATAATTGGTATTCATAATTCATAACTTATCTTTCTATCCACTGATCAAATTGTTATAAATAGACTAGCCAATTTTGAACTCCTTGTATAAGAAGGATATCCAATTAATTTTTTCATTTTAAGTCCAAAACTCCTTAAAGTCACATTCAGCAGCAAGCTGCAACATGTTATTCAGAAACTTTTTAAAAAAATATATATATCTTAGAATCTCTGGCAGTATTATATACTCAGAGGGCTCATTCAATTTACTGTAAGTCATTTCACGAAGAGATTCGGAAGCATTGTTATTCTATGAGGCTTATCTAAATTTAAACAAAGGGACCTGAAATGTAAGAATGAAATTCACATTAGATATAAAAGACAAACACTTCACAATCTCATTGTTACACGCAGGTGCACAGAAATTATTACACCAGCTTATATGGATAGAAAAACAAGGCTACTGCAATTGTAACAGATCACTTGCAAAATATTTTGCCCCAGAAGAAGAAAAACTTATAGATTACTTGTAATACTTCTTAGCATTATCAAAGGATTCAGACTTATTTAATATCAGAGCATTTGGCAACAACATCTCTTTATTGCCCATCTTTTATTTCTCCCTCTCTTTTTAAGGGGGGAAAGGTTGCATTATCTCAGGTAGAAACCACATGGGGAAGTGCAGCTCTCTTGAGCACCTAAATTCAGTGGATTCAGGAACCCAAAGAGAAAGGCCTCTGGGTTCATGGGTGACCACTTAAAAAGGCTCAAAAGAGGATAAACCTAACTGTCCTGTTCATGGAACATGTAGATCAGGGGTCTCCAACCTTGGCAATTTTAAGACTTGTGAACTTCAACTCTCAGAGTTCAGACTGGCTGAGGAGCTCTGGGATCAGTCTTAAAGTTGCCAAGGTTGGAGACCCTTGATGTAGATAAACCATTAGACTGTTGTTTCAGACAACATTCAGATAAATGATAATAGAATGTGGGTTGGAATACTTACTTTTGTATCTGGATGCGGGTAACCGCTGAGTATGATCCAAAAAAGTCAAAATGGCCACCACAAAAGAGTGCTAGGAGCTCTGCCTGTTTTTATGTGTGATCACTATCACTTATGATTGTCATCTTGACTTCTTTTATTAATCTTGCAGCAAGGATAGTCTTCCTTCTGGGATTATTTTGTGCTCTATAACATCCCTACTATTTGGCTGCAATTTATTTAAACATGTTCTCTCCATGGCTGGTTCCATTTGCAAGTGCTTAAACAGTTCACGTTAAATGTGCAAGCCTTTTTTAAAAAAAATACCTGCTACTAATACATAGACCTTGCAGCTTCTTTTCATTAACTCCACCTTTTTACAACCAAGTTCAACTGAATGTCGTATGTTTTTGGATGTTCATTTCTTTAGTCTAGCTATCGTTGCATGTACTTTTCTTTCATGTACATAATTTTGAATGCATTTTTGAGTTGCATCACTTAATGGGTCCAGGGCAGACAAATTGGGTTAAGCGCTCATTAAAATGCAAATTAAATGAATTTCTCCCCTGTCACTTTCTTGGATGCCGTAAATGGCCTCCTTCTTGCAAAACACAGATTCTTCCTATTATAGTAAGACATCACCACAGTAAAGGTGATATGATACAGATAAATAGGGTTTCCGGTTGCGATCAATCGTATGGTTAATGGTTCAGAGAGTGAATATATTGTAAACCATTTTTATTGAGAGAGGTTGAATTTGCAGGCCAAGAAAAAACACAGGCCTTTGGCTATCCAGGTCATTGATTCTATGAATATTAATGTCCCAGTTTGTGGCCCCTTTTAAGGTGTTTGAAGGTTCTAATTATTCTAACCATACTAGATGTCAATACCATAATACTCAAAAAACTTTTATACTGAAGAACAGCTGGTTGTGTTTAAACAAGCCAGACTAGGCAGAGACACATTAGGTGGCAGAAGAGAGAATAAAAATCATCATCTCAGCAGAATCTTAACATGATAGAATTGTCAGATCAGTTTTCCTCTTAAGATATGCTCATTTTGTCCAATGCTATTTGCTATTAATCATTGTCATATTCCAGTTTAGATTTTCCAGATTTAGCCTATTATAATAACATGCAGACGCTGACTAGAAAATAACTTAACTGTAAAAATCTGGCTACTTGTATGAACATAAAAATGTACAAAGAAAGCTGCTGCATCATGACAAAGTTCATTTTAACCCAGAATTTTGCTTCTTACACCTGCTTGCCCAATTCTGGAGAAACAAGTGGAGACCATCTCCTCTCGTGCTCTTCCCCTGCAACTGTTATTTGAAGGCATGCTGAATCTAGCTCTAATACAATCTTCAAGACATTGATAATTCTCTCTGACATGAATTTATTTAGTCCTGTTTTAAAAATCTAATTGACTAGGCATTCACTAAGGATTAGGATTATTAAATCTATGGGGCAAATATTTTTATGTTTTCTATGTTCAACCACGCTTTAGATTCTTCTAGAGTTGGATATTGTGATAACTAGAAAGGAAAGGAAAGGGCAAGTGTTGTTTATACAGGTATCCAGATAACATGAAATGGTATATGGGTTTAATAAAGGAAAGTAAAAAATATTTGGAACAAAAGCATATTCTGCTTTTGGCCAGTTATGTCTAAAGTAGTTGCCATTAAATATGTTAGGATGTGCCTAATGCCTCTAACTAAACCACCATCATATTCTCTACAAAAGATAAATTTCCAGCCCAAAAGCTGGTCTCATATATTGAATCATAACAATATTGGTATTAGAATGTAATCATTGTCAAGAAATATATAGGGTATAAATGGTTAAATGCTTAGCATTATTTTTATAAACAACAAAAACAAACTGTTCCCCTACTGATCCATCAATTTATGTCATATTGATTTGGTATAATCTTCTTGTTCCAGTATATTGAACTCATTTTGGGATGGCCTTCTTGGCAACAATGCTTAAACAATGGAAGTCATTCCAGAGTGAGGCTCACTTTGTAGTTTGGATTGTAAAAAATAAAGAAAGAACCTCTAGTTGAGATCACTAGAAGTCCTGCGGAACTAAACCATGGGAAACATTTGAGACTATAATATTTCCACATTGGCCAGTAGATAACTTCCTAAGTGCCACCAGTCAAACATGATGGTAGCTCTCCCATGTTGTCTCCATCTTTGCTCTTGGAGCTAAACACTTATTTGTGGTTCATTTATGTTACTATTGGTATTGTTTGAGATCATATAGAATAAAGGCCTCATTCAAAACATTGCTTTATAAGAATAAAATATACATTTGAAATGCAAGTAACCCTTTTTACATAAGTTTACATATACATATATATATATATATATATTTCTATTTTTAGACAAAGTCGGAAAAATGCCAGCTCTGTATCTCAAGATTCTTGGGAACAGAACTATCTTCCTGGTGAAGGTTTTCAAAGTGCCAAAGACAACCCTCGGTACTCCAGTTACCAAGGCTCTAGGAACGGCTACCTGGGGGGCCACGGCTTCAATGCTCGAGTCTTGCTTGAAACACAGGAGCTCCTCCGTCAGGAACACCGGCGGAGAGAGCAGCAGCTGAAAAAAAAGACCTCTTCTGAAGGGCCCAACAACTATGAGTCCCATAAGAAAGCTCAGGACCCTAATTATGCCATTCCCAAAGGTCCTTTCAGACATGATGTACCACCTTCACCATCTCAGGTTGCCAGGCTGAACCGATTGCAAACACCAGAAAAGGGAAAACCTTTTTATTCTTTAGTTGAAGAAAAAGGTCAGCGACCCATGCAGTAAAGGAATTTTTTTTTCCCATATGGAGAGACTTACATTATGGAACTCCATGTTTCAAATGGAGGGGACTCTTATTTTGTTTTTCAGTGCCTTTAGCAAGATGGACAATGAATTGGAAGGCCTTATATATACATTTTTTTTTTTTGCGTTATGTTTCAAGTGTTATATCCACAAAAAGATTATCCATTATTTGACAATCATATTTGAGGCAAGCAATTCGTCTTGGCTATCAAGTATTCTAGCCAATCTTTATTATCAATAACTGCCCACCAAGTTACACCATTAGTGTTGTTCAAAGAGATACTGTTCTAGCGTATAGCATTGACTGTTTTCTAATTTAAAATCCCATTGCCATATTTTCTTCGTTTATTTCTCTTAGCTTGAGAAAAGCAAGTACCTATCAGTTATAAGCCGTGAGCCAGAAATCTATTCTACTCTAGTCCTTGTTGTTTCCTTTCTGATCATTATTTAAATGTCTGTTCACTAAAAGACTGTTTCTATGACTTCATTGGTCATTCTCGAATTGTGCACAAACTTTATGCTCATTCCTCATTCATTTATCTCAGAGACCTTGTTGCATTTGTCTCATACCTTAACATTATATACCTTATATTATTATGAGACATTGTATTTATAATTTTCATCAGCTAATGGTGAGGAAGGGGAGCGTGTTGTTTGTCTGTGGAATGGTGAATTTCTCCAGACTGTTTTAGCAAGTTTTTGTTATTAACTGTTCCCATTATGTACAATTTCAGCCCCCCACTCAAATTATAGATAAACTGATTGCTCAGATATTCCATACTTCCTAATAATTTAATTTCTCATTATTATGTACCCTTATTTTGTTAGAAGGAAGAAATGCAGGACAAAATAAAATGAAAATCTATTTTTTGAATTAAAACTAGCTTTTGTAAACCTGTCTTTTTGACAGTTTGTAAAAACCTGTGGACAATTTGTGCTATGCTTCCATGTTGCTATATTTTGCCTCTTTGAACAATATTTGGAGTTAACCAGTAAAATATAAAATAATACAAATGTGAGAAAATTGATATACATTATCACGATAATACATTGGTGTTAAAAACAGTTGGGAAAAAAGAGCTGTGAGGATATATTTTCAGTGCATTTTGAGTATACAGAATTTTCTTTTGCAACATCTAGTTTTGTGTTTGAAGGTCTGAACATTCATGTATTGTTTTATAAGTGCCTGAAGTGAAAAAGGTTTAAGATTAAAAACTAGGCATATCATACTTAAATGAACAAAAAACATAAACTGTGTGTTACTGTATGATTGTTAATTTGCCTTTTTTAAAAAAGGAAGAAACCTGGCCCATATTACTTTTGCTACAAAAAATACTTTACTTCTGCTGTTTCAAGCATATATGTGAATGTTCAGTATATTCCAGCAGTGTCTTCTATACCTGTTTGCTAATTTTGTTTGTTAATATACTCAAGTGTTAAAGATTTGTTACTAATGTAAGCACAGTGACATCTGACAAAAATGGCTCTTTTTCACATAGCACTGGAGGAAATGGTGTAAATATAGAAATTTAGAATAAAAACACTGTTTGTGTCTTCATTTCAACATTTCTTTTGAAGTTTCAGAAATTCCAGCCATCATTACTTGATTTTTTTTTAAAAAAAAAAATACTTTACAGATGTTCTTTTATCATGTTTCCACAGACTTAAATTTCCCGTTCTTTAACCAATTATAGAAATAACTTACAAGAATGGGCAAAAGAAGAATGCCTTGTTATCTGTACTGAATCCCTTCCAAGAAGAAAGGCAAAAAAAAAAGGAGGGGGGACAGAATATGAATACAGATGTTGATCAAATCTGAAATACAGATAGCCTTGTTATGCTGCATTGGTTGTCCCATTTGAGGCAGGTTCAACTACAGTTGGTCCTCAATTTATAACAGGTCACTTAGTGACCGAAATGGAAATGGTTCTCAAAAAAGTGACTTATTTTTCCACACTTATGACTGTTGCAGCCTCCTCATGGTCACATGATCAAAATTCAGAAACTTAGCAACTGATTCATTTTTATGAAGGTTGAAGTGTCCCAGAATCTGTGGAGAGGTTATATTGACTTAACAGCCACATTACTAATTTAACAACCGCAGTGATTTACTTAACAACTGTTGCGAGAAAGGTCATAAATGGGGAAAAACTCATTTAACAACTGTCTTATTTACAAAACAGAAATTTTAGGCTCAATTGTGGTTGTAAATTGAGGATTACCTGTATTCAGCAACTTTCCAACCGCACTCAACATGTAGTCCTCAATGGACCTGCATCTACATGGAAGGAAGTATGTAGTGGAATACCCCAAGGCTCTGTTTTAGGCCCAATATTCTTCAACATCTTCATCAATGACTTGGATGAGGGGATAGATAGGGAACTCATCAAATTTGCAGATGACACCCAGCTGGCAGGAATAGCCAACACTCCAGAAGAAAGGTTTAAGATACAGAAGGATCTTGACGGACTTGAATATTGGGCGCTATCTGACAAAATGAAATTCAATGGTGAAAAAAGTAAGGTTCTACATTTAGGCAAGAAAAACAAAATGCACTGGTACAGTATATGAGGTACCTTGCTCTATAGTAGTAACTGTGAGAGGGATCTTGGAGTCCTAGTGGACAGCCATTTAAATATGAGCCAGCAGTGTGCAGCAGCTGCCAAAAAAAGCCAACACAGTTCTGGGCTACACAAACAGAGGGATACTGTAGAATCAAGATCACGTGAAGTGTTAATACCACTTTATAATGCCTTGGCAAGGAGACACTTGGAATACTGCATTCAGTTTTGGTTGCCACGATGTAAAAAAGATGTTGAGACTCTAGAAAGGGTGCAGAGAAGAGCAACAAAGATGATGAGGGGACTGGAGGCTAAAACACATGAAGAATGGTTGCAGGAATTGGGTATGTCTAGTTTAATGAAAAGAAGGACTAGGGGAGACATAATAACAGTGTTCCAATATCTCAGGGGTTGCCACAAAGAAGAGGGAGTCAAGTTATTCTCCAAAGCACCTGAGGGTAGGACAAGAAACAATGGGTGGAAACTAATCAAGGAGAGAAGCAATTTAGGAATAAGAAGAAATTTCCTGACAGTTAGAACAATTAATCAGTGGAACAGCTTACCTCCGGAAGCTGTGAATGCTCCAACACTGGAAGTTTTTAAGAAGATGTTGGATAGCCATTTGTCTGAAGTGTTGTAGGGTTTCCTGCCTAAGCAGAGGGTTGGACTAGAAGACTTCCAAGGTGCCTTCCAATTATATTATCTTATTCTATTCTATTCTATTCTATTCTATTCTAAGAAGCAATGAATGGAAAACAATCACGCATTGTTCAGTTCACAACCAACCCGTTATGTAGAGGCATCCATTGCAGGGACTGGTGCATCTGCAAAAGGGTGGTATGGGTTGGTGGATATGGTTTTCTCCACAAAAAACATGGCTTCTTTTCAAAATTGCTGTAATCCTAAATCATACTAACTATATTTCCAACAATCTGGATATAGTAATTAATACATCCCAGACAGATTGTAAGTTATCCAATGGTTGCAAGCAAATCATGATATTGCAAAAGCTGTTCCTTTGAGTCAATACATAACTATTTTGCTAAAGGAGAAAGCAGCATTCCCTCCCACTCCACCCACCCCAACTTCCTTCTCCAATCCTTCTCCACATTTCTCATACTAATGAGATTCAATCTCCAGGGAGCATATAGTAATGAGAGTGAGCCACTTTTCATATAAAATTGCCTTTTGTTCTGATTAACAGGTTTGCATACAAAAGCTAATGGTAATTGGAACAGAGAACAAAGATCTAGGGTCATGATAGAAAGGAAATTTGACTATAGACTTGACAGGTTTCTCAACTTCATCCAGCTGTGGTTGGTTGCTGTCAACCATCTAGAATACAGTCCAAGTTAGGCAGTCATCTCTCTCTCTCTCTCTCTCTCTCTCTCTCTCTCTCTCTCTCTCTCTCTCTCTCTCTCCCTCCCTCCCTCCCTCCCTCCCTCCCTCCCTCCCTCTTTCTCTCTCTCCCCCGCTCTCTCTCTCTCTTTCTATCTCTCTCTCTCTCACACACACTAAATGAGAATCTGCTCAGCTTCTTTTTCTGGAGCATTGTTCTTGGATCTTCCAAAACCACCCTTCTTCCTACATATTGATAGTTTTTGACAACCCTTATTATCCAAGCCATCTTCACCAACTAATATAAGTAATAAATCCTTCAAGCATAGTCTGTACCTTTTCTGTGTTGGGAAGTAACTCAAGACATTCAGACCATTGAACATCTTCCAGAGAAATCAAAGAATATTCAGTGTCTAGAGGGCCTGCTTCCCAACGTAATCACTAGTATATTCTAATGCCAGCAACCAGCCCAATGTGGATTATAAATATCAGGAGCAAATAGATAAAATAAGATGAATATCAGTAATTCCTATGTCTCATAAAGCAGAAGTCCGAACCTTTTTGTACCAGGGACTTTCATGGAAGACAGTTTTTCAGTGGACTGGGAAGGCTTCAGTTTTGCTCGCTCTCCCACCACTGACCTCCAGCTGTGTGGCTTGGTTCCTAATAAGCCATGAACCAGTACCATGCCGCAGTCCATGTCCCATGGATTGGGGCATGATTGCCTAAATTGATATAGGTAGTATACAATATATACTGTACATATTGCATAATAAATGGGAATAAAATCTGACCTGGATTACATACCTTCCCACACTTTTTCTTGTGGGGGAATTTTTTTTTTTTTAAAAAAAAACAGTTTAAAGCTCTCTTGCCTAAAAGATAGTATTTGAGCAGTTTCCTAATTGGGGGAACTCAATAAAAATGCCAACTCTCAAAACAGTTTGGTATGATGATTAAACTTGAAATTCAGACCTTCAAAGGTAAGTCTGCACAACATGGCAGCTATTGGGATTGTTACGACCCAGGTAGTCAAGGTGAGGCAGGCTTCTAGACAGTTCTTTATTCCTCCAGCCAACAGCCCTCCAACGACCAGTAAGGCTCCACCTTCACACTACTCTGAAGGCAGCCACCCACAGTTTCCCAAACACAGCCCTGGTAGAACAAAGAAAGCCCCACAGAGTAAGAGCATGCTCACAAGGCGCAAGGTCTACAGTTCCAAATCCAATCCACAAGGGACAGACAAGGGCAGTTCTCAGAACAAGAAACAGGCCCAAAGGCAGAGTGAAGCAAAGGCCAAACACAGTCCACAAGAGAAGGGCTAAGTCCAAAACAAAATGCGAAGAGCAATCTTCCAAGCGAGGCAAGGCAAACAGCAACTGGCACAAGTTAAAGCCAGGAGAGTGTAAACCAAAGCCAGCAATTGTTCCTGGCAAAGACTTAACTCTCCACAGCTTCTCCTTAAGTTACATTAAAGTTAAGTTAAAGTAAACATTAAGTTAAAGATGTTGAGACTCTAGAAAGAGTGCAGAGAAGAGCAACAAAGATAATTAGGGGATTAGAGGCTAAAACATATAAAGAACAGTTGCTGGAATTGGGCATGTCTAGTTTGATGAAAAGAAGGACTAGGGGAGACATGATAGCAGTGTTCCGATATCTCAGGGGCTGCCACAAAGAAGAGGGAGTCAAGCTATTCTCCAAAGCACCTGAGGGCAAGAAGCAATGGGTGGAAACTAATCAAGGAAAGAATCAACCTAGAACTAAGAAGAAATTTCCTGACAGAACAATTAACCAGTGGAACTACTTGTTCCAGAAGTTGTGAATGCTGCTACATTGGAAGTTTTTAAGAAGAAATTGGAAGTCTGAAATGATATAGGATTTCCTGCATAAGCAGGGGGTTGGATTTGAAGACCTCAAAGGTCCTTTCCAACTCTATTATTCTATATTCTATACTCCCCTCCAGGTGTTCCTTGAGAGGAGAGGTAGGGCAGCCTCCTTCTGAGTAGACTCGCAGCCCTTCTCTGGGCTTGCCTATGTCCCTGTCAGCAGCCAATCCTCCGGTTTCTGTGAAGGCAGGCAACTCTCCATCTGGTCAACCACCTCCCCCAATGCCTGAGGGGCCTGGGACAGCATCTTCCTCAGCCCCTGGCATGCCTTCCCTGTCAAATGGTCCCAGTCCCAACTACTCTTACTCAGAACCAGGCTCTGACGGGGCCATGGCAGGGATTCAGCTTTTAACTCTCAATGGGACTACCCATTGTTAAGAAAAGTAGATATTTAATGAACCATATGGTAAGTTCCTATGATCTATATTCACAGATGAGTTGAATTGCAACTTTGTCAGATGTAGATTAAACAATATAGAAGAAACAATTCCACATAAGATTTATGTGAAAATTTTAAAAAGTTTTGTCCATTTGAGGCCAGGATAGACATATATTTGCAGGAAATGAATTATTAATGAGATTTGTTTGTTTGTTATTTAGCATAATAAGCTAACATGGAGTTAAGAAGATTTCAGGACTGAAGATATCACTATGAATTGTCAAACATCCCTCCTGGCCCTGAAATTAACTACAATTTTTTCTAACTTAAATATAAGTGTACAGATAAGTTAATATCATAAATATGCTATAAATTACTTATTTCATCAAAATTCTATTCA